ACAGATAATAAAATTACTTCTTTAATACATATAGCATTTACATGTACAATATATTGTTGTTTATCTATTATTTTGTAAAATAATATCAATATATCTTGATCATTTATAAATGTTTTAATAATTTAATAATTTAATTTTTTTTTTTTTTTTTAAATTTATATTGTTCTTTATTTATTTGTCTTTGTTGATATTTTTAAAATATTTTTTCTTTTTTCTTTTTTATTATTTAAACATATATTAATTTTTTTTATTTTTTTAAAACTCATTTAGCTAATGAATAAGCAAGGAAGTAGTAGTACTTTAACTGCTCCCGAGGAGGTTGAAAGTACAAGATTTAAAGTTGGAAAAAGTGAAATGACTGGTAAAAGACCGACAATGGAAGATAGAATGGTTGCATATGGTAGATTTAGAAATAATCCAGAATCTGAATTATATTGTATATTTGATGGGCACGGTGGAAGAGCAGCTTCAGATTTCGCAGCAGATAATATATATAGAATTTTTTCAGAAAATTTAGATTCAAATCTTACCCCAGAAGAATCATTTATAAAAACATATCAAACCATAAGCAGTCAAATAGCACCATGGCCATTCATTGGAACAACAGCAGTATGTAAAATATAATAATAATAATAATAGTTAATAATAATATTAATATTTTTTTTTTTATTATTTAGGCATCAGTATATATAAATGAAAATAAAGTTTATGTTGCAAACGTTGGAGATACTAGAGTTGTTTTAGGTAAAATAGTGGATAATAAAATCATTACAGAAAGACTTACATTTGATCACAGACCAGTAGAAGATAGCGAACGTGAAAGAATTGTTAAAGCTGGCGGTACTGTATTAAATGGACGTGTTAATGGTATGTTGGCTGTCTCAAGAGCTTTAGGCGATTCATTTTTAAATCCTTTTGTTATTTCAGAACCCCACCTTCAATCATTTTCAATTACAAAAGATGATAAATTTTTAATTTTGGCATGCGATGGCGTTTGGGATTTAGTTTCTGATGAAGAGGCCGTTCAAATCATTTCAGAAAATCCAGATCCAAATAAATCAAGTGAAATTCTTAGAGATTTAGCTTATAGGATGGGAAGTACCGATAATATTAGTGTAATGGTTGTAAAATTAAATGAATATTAAAATAGAAATAAAATTAAAACAATATATAAATAAAAAAAATTAAGAAAAAAAAAAAAAAAAGAAAAGAAAAATATTTTTATTAAAATTATAAATTATAAAATTAATAACAAAAAAATAAAACTAAAAACTTTTAAAATTAATAATAAATAAATACATTTCATTTTAAATAAAAATATTTGTTTTCTTTTTGAAATTTTATTTATTTTTAGTCGCTTTCTTCATTATCATCATTATTGTTTAATTTTGTGAAATAGCTAATATAATTATCATGAACTAGTGAAGCAAATTTTTTATTATAAACGTTAACGGCATTTAAAGTTTTAGAAACATTTTCTCTTTGTTCGTATAGATAGTTTTGTCTTTCTTGATTGTTGGGATAACTATTGAGAGTCTTCTCGACTACACATAAATTATGGGGTCTATTTACAATTTCTTTGAGACCTGCAATAAAAGTATTAACACTAAAAAACATGTGGTTAGATTATGTAAAAAAAGGTACTTGATAAAAAAAACATACGATCCTAGAGTGTCTTCTGGAGTGAAGTAACTATTTAAACTATTTGAAAAAACAATGAGGGGAATTATATGGTCAACTTCAAACTCCTTTTTACTTTTGAAGCAGAAAACCAATAGTGCATCGTATGAGGTAAACACTCCACTAGAGTTTTTATAATAAAAATTACTAGTCTTGGGATGTTGTTTTCTTAACACAGAGGGTGTGAAAATATTGATACCCTTTTCACCCTCACCACCAACTACTTCCTCGGTTGCACAGCCACATTGAAATGTGAATGTATCACTTTTTTCATACTCTGCCTCTATTGTATGACCGCAATCAAGACATGAATATTCGATTGAGTTTGTTTTTTTTTTTATTGAGGTTTGAAATTGAAACATATAATTATGTATACTTTATTATAATATTATTTTTAATTATAATACCAAAGAGAAATAAAATATGCAAAAAAAGATTTTTAAAAAAAAAAAAAAAAAAAAAAAATAGAAAGAAAAAAGAAAAAAAAAGATTTCTAATAAAATTTTTTTTTATTGTTTTATGCAATTTTCTGGATAAATGGTTTTGGTTTTACTTTCGTTTTAATTTGATCACATATCTAGATTGGACCGGTATATCATGATGTTTATATCTTAAAAGTAGGATGTATAGAATAATTGCAAATGTAAAGATATTATTTTTTTTTGTTTTCAAATTTTCTTTTTTTAGTTTTAAAAATTATTTTTTTAATATTTTTTATTATTTATTATTATATAATTTTTAAATTATTTTTTTAAAAATTATTTTTTAAAATTTTTTTTTAAATTATTTTTTCATTTTTTTAAACCACATACATTTTTATTTTCCACATTAAATATCTCTTGTTATTTTAGAAAAACAATATTAATAATTATAAAAAAATAAACAATAACACCACAACATAGAATTATAAAAAACTATTATTAAAAGGAAAAATACCTTTTTTTTTCTACATATTATTATTATTATTATTTTTTTTATATATTATATATATTAGTATTATATAGGTTTATAGTATTACCTATAGGTAGTTTTATAGTAAGATAGGTTGCTATAAAAATGACATATAAGTTAAAAAATATATTTTTAATTTTTATTATAATAGTAAGTTTTTTTTTTTAGTTTTTTACCTATCGATTCGTACTTATTAATTAAATTTTTTAAAATCACAATAGTTTATAATAAAAGTACATTCGAAAAATATAAAAAATATAAAGCATAGTAATAATAGTATAAACAGTAATGAATTGGTGTACCCTAGAAATTTAACATTTGCCTATGAGGCTAAATGGGATTTGGATAAAGGAGTTTCATATAAACTAGAGGGATTTGGGAAAAACTCTGGTGTAGTATATTATGCAATAAAAAATACACAATCTTTTTTAAAACCAACAACAGCAGCAGGTAGTAGCAGTATTAATAACACCACACAAAACAGTGGTAATAGTTCAACAACCTCAGGAATAGTTTATAGATCATATGATATGATAGAGGGTAACTTTAAAATTAGGGATGGAGACTATACAAATAACAATGGTATTGATGGATTTGTTTATGGTATCTACGAATATACAATTGGTTTAGCAACAATGTTGATATTGCCATACAATAATGACGAAATTATATTCAATAAACCACCAAGCCCAATTAATTATGAGTTGGTAGAGAATATGACCGACACAGATGCTATTAATAATATAAAATCACAAATAAATAATATTACCCTCACCAATGACCCATTTACATACTTTTTAATGGATAAAAATATTTCAGCCTCATCACTCGATAGTATAGAGATTCCATTCAATCCAAAGAATCAGGTTATGCTTACTTTTATTCAACAGTTTCAACAAATTACAGAAAAAGAGAATCAAGCCATTATCAATACCTTTGAGGCAGGTCAAACTAATGAGAATTTAAATGTTTTAATTAAAGCTAATGGAACTTTATCTTCAAGCTTTATGGAATTCTCTTTCAATGTATATGGTGGTGGTTTTAATGTCCCAAGATTTAGATCAAAATGGATGAACTATGTTGTTTTGGTTTCATTATCCTCATTTATTCAAATCTTTGTTTTAATACGTCAAATAGATTACACATCGACTCAAACTGCTGCAGCAAGAGTATCGATCTATTCTATTGGTCTTCAAACTATATTGGATGCCTATCTTTGTTTAATTCATTTATCTGCTGGTGTAATTATAGACTCGTTATTCAATGCATTTGCCACTGCCTCGTTCTTCCAATTCATCACCTTTGCATTGTTCGAAATGAGATATTTATTAATAATTCTTAAAGCAAGATCTCCTTCTGCTTTTTCTGATGGATGGGGTAATTATAAATTATTATTATTTAATTTTAATATTATTTTTTTTATTAATTTTTTATTATTTATCAATTTTTTAGAATCATTAAGAAGAGAAATTTCAATATTTTATTTAAGATTCTATACTTGTTTATTTGGTGGATTTATTTTATTATATTACTTTAGTGGATTATTTAGCTTATTTTTATTTATTATGTATTCATATTGGGTCCCACAAATTTATGCAAACGCTAAAAATGGAATTAGAAAACCTTTCATTTGGAGATATGTACTTGGTATTTCAATTACAAGATTAGCCATACCATTATGTTAGTATTTAAATTAATAATAATAATAGTAACAATAATATAATAATAATAATAATAATAATAATAATAATAATAATAATAATAATAATAATAATAATAATAATAATAATAATAATAATAATAATAATAATAATAATAATATAATTCTAATGTTTATTTTTTTATTTTTTTTAATTTAGATTTCTATGGTTGCCCAACAAATTATATTACCCAACCAAATTATTATTATTCAAGTATTTTGGTTTTATGGACAGCTTTGCAAGTTAGTATTTTATACGCACAATATAAGTTTGGTCCACAATTCTTTATTCCAGCTAGAGTAAGTTTTACCTATTAAATTATAAATTGTTGTGATCACAATAATCAAAAATATTAACTTTTTTTTTTATTAGTTTTTACCACAAAGATATAATTACTACAGACCAATTAACAATACAATTAGAAGCAGAGAGGAAGGTCAAGGATGTGTCATTTGTATGTCTGATGTTGAGGAAGGTCAAAAATACATGTTAACCCAATGCAACCATTTATTCCATGAAAAATGTTTAGTATCTTGGATGGAATATAAACTCCAGTGTCCAACCTGTCGTTGTGCATTAGAACCAATTGATATTGTAATCGAGTAAACAAATATTTAATTATAACCAATCATTTTTAAAAACCCCTTTTCTATTTATTAACAAAATCAAACCGAATAAAAATTATTTTTTTTTTTTTTTATAAATTTCTAAATTGGAACTCAAAAAATTGTTATATATTTTTTAAATTTATATCAATTATTTAAGCCCCAATTAATAATATTCTGAGAAAAAATATCAGTTACCATTTTATAATTGGTATATTAAAATTTTAAATTTTTATTAAAAAACTATTTTTTTTTTATTTAATTTTTTAATTTTTTTTTCCAATTTTTTTTTAAATTATTTTTTTTTAAATTTTAAATATTTTTTTCTTTTTCATTTATTTATTTTAAAAGTGAGAAGAATAATAGAATATATTAAGATAAATCCCTAGAAATTCTTCAAATCACCATTTTTTATAAAGTTTTTTTTTTTTATAACAGCTTATTAAGCTTAATAATAATAATAATTGTATAGATTTATAGTTAAATAAAAAGATATCGAATAATATTTTCCAAAACATATAATAAAAATGGAATCAAATAATAATAATAATAATATTAATATTATTAATAATAATAATAATAATAATAATAATAATAATAATAATAATAATGTAGATAAAACCGATAATAGAAATAATGAAAATAAAAATAAAAAAAATATGAAAAGTAAAGCAAAAGTAGAATGGGTCCCAAAGATTAAGCCTGCTGAATCAACAACAAGTACCGCTATAACATCCGATAAAGAACCATCTACAGCTATACCTACCACAAAAACAACCGCAACCACAACAGCTACAAAAACTTCAACAGTTTCACAACCTCAAAAAGAATCCAAAAAACCAAAAAAAGGTGATGTTAAAAAATCAAATATTGATATAGAAAAATCACTCTCTAACTTAAGTTTAGATTCAAATAAACCATCACAAAGAAGTAAAAAAGAAAAGTCTTTAGATTCAATTGCACAAGAAAACTTATTAGATCCCCCCAATCAAATGGCTTCGACAACGACTGCTACGTCCACAGAGAATAAAATTCCAAAACCAAGAAAAGAAAGAAATAAAAAACCCAAAGGGATTTCTATAACTCCATCAGTTGCTAGTACCGAATCTCACGCACAAAGTTCAACTAATGAATCAGTACCAAAAGCCAAACAAAATAATAAGGATGGTAAAAAAGAAAATAAACCAGCTAAGCAACCACAACAGAAAAAAGATACTAAACCCTCTGCACCAGCCAAGCAACCACCACAACAATCACAACAGCCACCACCACAACAACAACTAGGACAACCAATAGAACAGTCACAACAGCCACTACAACAACAATCACAACCAAAGCAACCAAAGCAACAAAAACAAAAACAATCAAAACAATCGAAACAATCACAAGAACCGCTACAACAACAGTCACAATCAAATAAAGATCTTGGCGAACCAGAAAATAAAGATAAAAAAGTTAGAAGGAACAATAGAAATAAACAAGATAAAGAAGGTAAAGAAGTAGTAGCAAAAGAGAAAAAAGAAGGAAAAAATAAAACAGATAAGAAGGAAAAGAAAGATGAGAAAGAAACGAAAGGGTATAGAGAAAGAAGAAGAGAAAAAAGAGAGAGAGAAAGAAATGAATTGAAATCTAAAAAAATTGGTTCAAATGATTCAAATGGTTCAAATGATGGCAATAATAGAAAAGGTGAAAAGAAGAAAAGACAATTTTATACTCCATACATCACCAAAGAACAACTTGATCAAGGTTTGGCTGAAGGAAAATACTTTTTTGGTACCCTTAGAGTTAATTCGAAGAAATATCGTGATGCATATATTACCGTTGATGGGTTACTTCATGATGTTTATTGTGGTGGTTTAAAAGATAGAAATAGAGCTTTCAATTCTGATATTGTTGTCTTTGAAGTACTTGATGAAAAAGAATGGAAAAAGAGACCAAGCAAAGAAGATGAGGAAGATGATATTACCGCAAATGCTGCCCTTAAAGATGCCACTGTCGATCCAAATGAATCAGATGAAGGAACAGTAGTTTTATTAGAAAATGAAGACTTTAATAAGAAATTAGAAGCAGAGAATAAACTTTTAAAAGAATGCATAACCGCCGAAACTCCACTCAACCACGAAGCCAAAGAGAAAGAAGATGATATTAAAGAAAATATTGAATCAGACGAATCCGATGATAGTGAATCTGAAAGTGACAGCACCGATGAGGGTTTTGTTAAAATTAAAGTTAAATCTGAAAAAGAGGCTATACACCATACCTTAGACACTGACACTCAAACCATCACCTCTAATGCCACTACCATTACCACCACTGTTACTTCCGATCTATCCACAAATTCTGGAACCCCATCAAAACAATCAAATACTCCAACCGCTCCAATAAGAGATCACAATATTGGCAAGCTCGAAAAATTAGTAATCAAAGCCTATGATTCAAAACTATATGTTTCCGTAAAGATTGTTTATGTTTTAGAAGTTAAACATACCAGAAATCATGTTGGTATTTTAATTGTAAGAATTTAATATATTTTTTATTCAACACTACTATTAAATTTTAAACATTATTCTAATAATCTACTTTATTTTTAGGAGGAAAATGAAAACTCAATTTTTACAAGTTTTGCTCCAATGGACACATCATTACCAAAATGTTGTATATTTAAAGACTCTATTCCTCAATATAAATCAGAGTCTGAAAAATATAAGAGGGCCCTAGTAATGATTAGCTATTCATCATGGAAAGACACAGCATTACTCCCATGTGGTCATTTTATATCATTATTTGGTGAATGTGGCAAAATTGAACCAGAGACTCATGCGCTTTTGAGCGAGTTTGGTGTTGAAACTGATCCATTCTCAAGAGAAGTCATGGACTGCTTACCCAAAGTACCAAATTCATCAAAATGGTTACCAAGTAAACAAGATTTAGCCGATAGAAGAGATTTAAGAACATATGAAATTTGCACAATTGATCCAGATACCGCCAAAGATTTAGATGATGCTTTACATTGTATCGAATTACCAGATGGCAACTTTGAAGTTGGTGTTCATATTGCCGATGTGTCCCATTTTGTTAAAAGTGGCACAGAATTAGATAAATGTGCTCAAAGAAAAGCCACCACCGTTTATTTAGTTCAAAAAGCCATTCCAATGTTACCATCTCTCTTATCAGAAGAACTTTGTTCATTAAATATGGGTGTTGAACGTTTAGCCTTCTCTGTTATTTGGAAGCTTTCACCTTCTGGTGAAATTTTAGAAGAGTGGTTCGGTCGTTCAGTAATTAAATCATTCTGTAGATTAACTTATGGTATTGCTCAAGCTTTAATCGATGATAAAATTACCAATTGTTGGGAAGATTTTGTACCAAAAGAAAAGGTTAAAAAAGAATTGGGTCCAAATACACCAGAACACATTTTAAGAGTCAAAAAATCAGTAATGGGTCTAAGAGGTATCGCCAAATGTCTCAGAAACACTCGTATCGAAAATGGTGCATTCACAATTCATCCAAGCAAACTAGCATTCGAACTCGACGAAAAAGGTAATCCAATTAGTACTAAAATCTATCCAATCTATGAAAGTAATAACTTGGTTGAAGAATACATGCTCTTAGCAAATATGAGAGTTGCCGAAAGAATCGCTAAATTCTTCCCATCCAATGCTCTCCTTAGAAAACATCCATCACCAAATGAAAACAAACTAGAATCATTCATTAGTTTTTGTGCTAAACATGGATTTGAAATCGATACCTCATCATCATTAACATTTGGTGAATCTATAAAGAAACTTAAAGAAACTGTTGGTGATATTGACATTTTAATGGCAATTCAACTACTTTCAATCAGATCAATGAAATTGGCAGAGTATTTCTGTACATCAACTGAAGAAGAAGAAGACTGGCGTCACTATGCACTCAATGCCCCATTCTATACCCATTTCACCTCTCCAATCCGTCGTTATGCTGATATCATTGTCCATAGATTATTGGATCTCTCTATAAAGATTGAAAATGCTTCAACTGATAAACATAAAGAAGAAATTCTAGGTACATTATTTAGCAAACTTCCATCATCCGAATTAGTTTGTACAATTGCAAAGAATTGTAACGAAAAGAAGTTGAATGCACGTAAAGCTCAAGAACGTAGTGATAAAGTTTTCCTTTGTGTACTTTTAGAAAACCACCCAACAACCTGTGGTGCTGTTGCTTTAAATACTGGCTCAACTTTTATCACCTGTATCGTTCCACAATTTGGAAGTGAACAAAAAATTTATTTAGAGGATTTAAAAGAAAAAGGAGATATTCTTGACCATTCATACGATGCTTCAACTGGTGAAAATCTTGTTAAATGGCCTGCATTAAACGATGGCCAACCAGATATTATCCAAAGAATTTCACAATTAACAACTATGAAGGTATTAATTGTTGTCAACAAAGAAAAATTCCCAATAGATACAAAATGTTTCTTAGTTCATCCAAATCTTTAACAAATTAAAAAAAGCTTTTTTTTAATTATGTTTTTTTTTTTTTTTTTTTTCACCACATCAAATTATAAATAGTATCAAAAAAATGTAAATAAATAAAAATAAATAAATTATTAAAAAAATATAAATAAATATAAATTAAAAAATAAAACAAAGTTGCAAAAAATCCACATTGATTGATTCTCGGTACTTTTGTGTTTTTTTAATTATAAAACAGGTTTTTTGATGATCGACTGACTAAAAAAATAAAAATTAATGAAATAAATATATAAAAAGATAATCTAAGTATAATTATCATTGTTTAAAAACTAATCATACAAATCTTGGTAAAATCGATGATTAAATAATACATTTATTAAATGTATTTAATAATCTAAATAAAGATATTTTTTTTTTAAAAATAATTTTTTTTTTTTAAAATAATTTTTTTATAATTTTTTTTTATTTCAGTTAAAAAAAAAAAAAAATTTTTTTTTTTTTTTTTTCTATTATAATTATATTTATTATTTTGGTATTATCCAATTTATTAATAATGAAAAAATTTAATAAAGTTTATACCGATACATTGGTCTCTGTTAAGGAGATCATGAATAAAAATAAAGATAACACTTTAGAATTTCCCGACTATACACTAAAAACAAAGGCATTGGAAGATTTAAAATTATATTCAAAAGATTTTTCACTCAAACTAAACAAACAATCCAAAAACAATCAAAGTAATATCCCCATAATTATCATAATCAATAATATCAATTCAAATAGAAAACTAATTTAAATTTTATATTTTTTAAAAAAATAAAAAAATAAAAAAATTATAAAATAAAAAAATTATAAAATAAAAAAATAAAAAAAAAACATATTAATAAAAAATTAAAATTTTACATAACAATATAGGTTTAATTGAAGAAAATAAAATATTTAGCGAACAATTGGTTTTTTATAGTAGTTTATTTTTAAATTTAAATGATGAATCATATAATATTTGTGACCCTTTATCAAATTTATTTAAATTATTATCGCAACTAGTTCAAGAGATTGAAACATGTAGAAATAAATTTGACCAATCAATTAGTTCAAAATGGTTAAATCAATTACAAGAGTTTCAAAAAGTGGACTATAAAGACTCACAACTAGCAAAGAATAGATATGACAAAGCAAGAATTCAATTTGATATAGCATCTGAAAATTTTAAAAATTTAAGAAAGAAGCAAAATAACAACGCTGAACGTTTATTAGAGGCCGAAGATAATTTAGATTTTAGCACTCAACAATTCTCTGATATTGCCTCAGAGTCTTTAAATCAAATGGAAGAAATTATTGATAAACATAATTCAGAGTCATTCGAATCAATGTGTTCATCTTTTTCATCATATAAAGAATTTTTTCAAAAAGGTTTAGAAATTTGCAACTCTATGGAAGGTGAACTCGAAAAACAAAAAACAAATATGAATAAATATAAACAAAATTTACAAGAAAAAAAGAAATTAAGATCAACTGTTGTACAATTTGAACAATCAACCAATAGTTCAAAAACAATGATAGTTTCAAACTCTAATCCAAACCAAACTGTTCAGCCACCAACACCATCAAATCAACAACAACAACAACACCATTACTCAAACAATAACTTACCATCTGCTCAACAAGCTGTACCAGCCCAACAAACCCCTGCTGCAAAAGGTAATACCAAAGTATTTGGTATGAATTTATCAACCATCACAGAAAGAGAGAAATCAGATATCCCTTCAATTATAGAAAAATCATTACAATTTTTAAGTATGGAAGAGAATATAACCCAAGAGGGTATTTTTAGAGTTTCACCAAATCAAAGAGTTTTAACAGAACTTAAAAACAATGTTAATGCAGGCTTTGTAACAACTCTAGATGGTATAGATGATGCTTATTTAATGTCCTCATTTTTAAAATGTTTCCTTCGTGAAATGCCAGAACCATTATTCACCTTTAAACTTTACCAACCATTAGTAAACTGTGTATTGGAAGATGAAGACGAATGTGACAAGGTTAAAATATCAGAAAAAATTGCAGGCCTTATTGCCACCCTCCCAAGACCAAATTTCATATTATCTAAACATTTACTCTCACTATTATGGAAAATATCAACAAAATCACAAAAAAATAAAATGACCACTAGTAATTTAGCAGTAGTTATAGCCCCAAATATCCTCTATCCAAAAGTATTGGATATTAGATCCTTAACAAATTCAAATACAACAATCGAATTTATGATTGCAAATTTTACATTAATATTCAATAATCCACAAATTTTAAATCTATACAATACCAATTCTAGTGTTTCGAATACTGCCTCAAGTGCAACCGCCTCTAATCCAAGACATAGTACAATGGTACCACCATCATTACCTGCTAGACCTCAATCTGTAATGTTTAAACAAACCCCAATTAATGTAAATGTTAATAATAACAATAATCCAAGTGGTGCATCACCACCACACACACCAACCAAACTAAGTAACTCATTACCACAATTACCACATATACCTCCAAAGGCCAGTAACACTACTTTATCACCACAACAAGCCCCAGCTTTACCACCAAAAAATAAAAGACTATCTAGCTCATTACAATTACCAGTACAGCCACAACCACAATCTTCATCATCACCTTCATCACCCTCCTCATCACCATCACCAACTCCTACAGGCCCAAATCCTTTAAGATCATCTACTGGCTCAACTCAAAAACCAATTAGTAATAGAGTTTCAATGTATTTGGCAAATTCAAACTCACAAAATCCCCCACTACCTCCAAAACCAAATAGAAATATAAACACAACCCTCAATAATAGTAATAACTCACGTTTATCGAGTAGTGCAGAGATTTCACCACCACCATTAGCTCCAGTCGAATTATTTGAAACATTGGAACCATCTAAAAAAACTCCAGATAATATTAAACCAGAAACCAATTGGATATAATATTTTATCATGCATTTAATTTTATTTATTTTATTTATTTATTAAATATATTATAAATAATAAACTTTTATAATATAACACCCTCAAAACCATTTTAATCTTTGTAAAAATAATATTTATAATAAACATAAAATTGTTTTAAAAAACTGTGGTAATACATTTTTTAAAATTTTATTTTTGTCTGTAAATAAAAATTTAGTAACAAATTATAATTCATTTATTAATTTTTATTTTTATTTGTATTTCTTTGTTTAATTTTAATTTTAATTTTAAATTTTATATTATTTTCGCTTTATTTTTTTTTATTTTTTTTTTTTTTGTTTATTTTCTTTTTTTATTATTATTATTATTTCTTTTTTTTTTTTTTTTTTTTTTTTTCCTTAATTAATTAATTTATTTAATTAATACAAAATATTTTTTTAAAAAATAATTTTATTTTAAAAAAAAAAAAATAAAATAAAAAATATTTTAAAAAACAATTTTTAAATTTCAACCAACTCGTAAAAATACCCTTTCAAAAAAAAATATTATACACAATTAAATTTTATACCTACACAAATAATAAATAGTAATAACTTTAGTTTTTTTCTTTTTTTTTTTTAATTAAACACCAAAAAAAAAAAAAAAAATGAGTCAAAGTAATCTAGTAACAGGATTGATCGGCATATCTGGTTTCTCTTTACCATTTTTTTCGAAAGCCGAGTCTTCTTTAGCAGAGGATAGTAATTCAGCAAACTTAATAAACGATTCAAATGAAAATACAAACCTATCCACCAAATATTATACAAAAGAAGAAGTTTCAAAACATTGTTCAAAACATGACTTTTGGACTATTTTTAGAGATAAAGTATATGACTTAACAAAATTTTGGAAAGAACACCCAGGTGGAGATATAATATTGGTATGTTTATTATTTCCTAATATTTGTTTTAAATTTCATCAAAATCAACAATATTAACTGTTTTTTTTTTTTTAGGAGGGCGCAGGTAAAGACATAACACTTCTATTTGACGATATAGGTCATAGCGTAGATGCTGAATTGTTACTAAAGAAATATTATATTGGGGACCTAAAATAATAATATAATAATATAATAATATGATAAAAAAACAATTACAAATTATATAAAAATTATAACAATCATAAAAAATAATTTTTAAAACCCCCACCCACACAAAAGAAATACATTACAAAAACTATTTTTTAAAAAAACCCCACCCACAAAATATTTATAAAAAAAAAATTATAAATAATAATTAAATAACTATTATTAATGATTGAAAGTAAAAAACTCAATTATATAATAAATAAATAAATAAATAAATAAATAAATAAAAAAATCTCTATTTTGTATTATTAAAAAAAAAAAATAAAAAAATTTAATATATTTATAATATATAAATTTATATTTATTCGTCTGATAAATTTCTTCTTTTTGGTAAATATACCATTTCTTTGTGAGATGTTTTCTTTCTTCTTTTTTCGATATATTTGTCTAATTTGTTTGATTGTTTTAATTGTTTGAATCTCTCTTGTAATTCAAATTCTTTTAATTTCTTATTGGTGATGTGATATGGAGCTTTACCTTTTTTGACATGTGAAATTTCTTTTTCTAAAAGTTTATTACGGGTATCTCTCTTTTCATCCTTCATTTGTTGTGCTTTTAATTGTGAACGTTTAGATTGAATCATTCTTGATAATCTTTCTTTGTCTCTTGTTCCTTCTTCTAATTCTTTATGTTGCTTCTCCATTTTATCGATATCTTTTTTAATAACATCATCTAAAAATCCGTATCTCTTTCTATAAACCTCTTCATTAAATGTACCTCCGGAAAGTGAATCAAATCTTGGGTCTCTAAACTTTAGTTTTTTATTTGGTACTATTTGTTTAAATCTTGAAACTGGTATTTTTGCAGACATTTCGACAGGAGCATCATTATTTTCTCTTTTTATATTAAATTTATTTTTACTATTATTACTATTATCTTTACTATTAAATTCTTCTTGTGATTGTTTTTGTGGTTGTTTTTGGAGTGGTAGTGATTTTTGTTGTTGCTTTGTTGGTCCATTCTTTTTAATTTTTAGTAAAGTTGAAAATGAAACATTTTGTAATTGTTTTTTAATCTCCTCCTCTTCCTCCTCATCGTCTTCACCATCTTCTTCGTCATCTTCTTCGTCATCTTCTTCGTCTTCTTCATAATTTTCTTCGTCTTCTTCACTATACTCATCGCTTTCTTCTTCCATTACATCTTCATCTTCGTTATATTCTTCATCTTCATCTTCATCACTATCACCGCTATAATGTTTATTATTATAATTATTATTATGATTAATATTATTTAATTTATTATGTCTATAAGTTTTTTAATTCTTCTTTATCATCGCTTTCATCTTGAAAGGTGGAAATTGGTCTACTAAGTGGGTTTCATTTCCTTAATTTTTTTAAAAATTTTTTGGTTCGGAATTTAGGAACCGGTTTTTTTTTTAATTTTTAAAAAAATAATAAAAAAAAATAATAAAAAAATTAAAAAAAATAAAAAAAAAAAAAAAATTTCGGTTTTTTTTTTTTTTTATTTTTTTTTTATAAACCCTCCCTATTAAATTAATTTAACAATTATTAATAATTTTTAAAAAAAAAAAAAAAAAACTTTATTCAATCAAAATTGGGTTAATGAAAACAAAATTATTATGTGAACCAATTAAATTTCAGGTAAATCTAACAATATTAAACTGATAAAATTTTTTTTTTTTGTTTTTTTAATTTTATTTTTTTATTTTTTTATTTTTTTTTTATTCATTATTATTTTTATTTATATGTATATTTAAAAAAAAAAAAAAACACAATTAAAATTTTTTATTTTTTCTAATTTTATTTTTTTTTTTTATAAAATTAATATAAATATAAAATAAAAAAATCTAAAAATTTATTTATACATTAATTAATTAGAAAAAAAATTAGATTTTCAAAAAAAAAAAAAAAAAAAAAAAATAAAAAATAAAAAAAAAAAAAATATCATATTGTAGAATTTTCAAAAACTTATCATAAAGGAATCTATTAATGTATCATACAAATTTATAAAAATATAACAACATGGATAATATTGAAAATGGTAATATAAATAAATCTCAAACTTTACCATCACTAAATCAAATTATAAATTTACCATCAACACAATCTGGTAATTCTTCACCAACTTCAAGACCAAACAGTAATGGCAATATAAATCCCCCTTCATTCATGTCTGATAGACCACCACCTCCAAGAGATAGATATGAAAATGATATAAACATTAATAATAATAACAACAACAATAGAGATTATAGAGATACATTTAAATTAAATAAAGAAGAGGATAGTAATAATGGAAATATAAACAACAGTGGAAGCGGTAATAATAACAATACTAATAGTGGTACCAATAATAGCAATAGTAATAATAATGGTAATAATAATAATAATAATAACAATAATAATTCTTCACCAATGATGCAATCTCAGCATCATCAAAATTCATATCAATACCAGTCTAATTATATTGGCCCACATCATATGAATAATGGTAATTCTCCAAATATACAGCCCCAACCTTATTCTCCTAATCAACAATCTTCACATAATTGTAATAGTAATAGTAACAGTAATTCACCACCTATAAATAATTTAAAATTAAATAAATCTATGAATGGCAGCGGTAATAGTTTATCGCCCCCAGGATATAGCAGCGGTAATAGTAGTAATAGTGGTAATAATAGTAGTGGAAATAATAGTAATAGTAATGGCATTAATAATAACAATAATAATGGTAATAACAATAATATGAATAATAGTAATAATAACAATAATAACAATAGTAATAATAATAACAGCAATAATAATAATAGTAATGGCTTTAATGGTTATCAACAACAAAATTATCAAAGAGGTTATTCAGGTGAAGCAATTAGAAAGAAAAGAATTATATATGAGGAGGGAAATAACCAATCAGATTCACCACCACTTTTAAACAGTGACGATATGGAGTCACCACGAATGGGTTATCAAAAATTTCAATCACCTTCATCATCACAACAATATTCTTCGCCACAACATATGCAGGGTTATCCGCCACCAAATCATATGGGTCACCCACCACCCAATCACCCAAACTACCCACCAAACCATCCAAATTATCCACCATCCAATCATATGAATCACCCACCACCCAATCATCCAAATTATCCTCCACCACCCAATCATATGAATCACCCACCAAATCACATGAATCATCCAAATCATCCAAATTATCCTCCAAACCAACAACATCCAAACCACCCAAATTATCCACATCACTCACAAAACCCAAACCATCCACCCCCACCAAATCATATGAATCATTCAAACCATCCAAATCATCCAAACCATCCCAATTACCCGCCAAATCATCCATATCAACAACATCCTAATAATTTTAACCAACCACCACAACATCCATCCCAACAGCAACAACAACAACAACAACAACAAGAAGAACCAATGTCAGATGATTCATTAGATAGTGATCCATGTGAGTTGGAGTTACAACAACAAACCAACATAAATAATGGTTTGATGATTTTTCATGACGCTCTTTTACCAGAAGAAAATTATGATATGTATAATAAGTTTAAAATGAATAGTAATAGTAATAATAATATTAATAATGGTAATAATAATAATATTAAAAAAATCAATTCAATGTCAAATATCCACAATATTAATAATGGTTTAACACCTCCACAACAATCATCCCCTCAACAAATATAATATAATATAATATAATATGTATGGATAGAAAAAAAAATAAAAAAATAAAATTATAAAATATAAAGTTTTATATTTTTTTATATAAAATAATATGAATTTATTATTTATTTATTTCTTTTAAATATTGGATGGAGAAACTATTTTTATTATTTTTTATTATTTTTTTTTATGATAATAAAAATGACATATTACCATAGTCTCTTATCATTGGGTTGTAACCTGATTTTGTTTTGGTTTCATTTAAATAATCCTTACCATATTTCTTCAAAAATTCTTTATGTTTGTAGGTTTTAACTTGTTCGAAATTATTTGCAAGTCTGTCACGATTTGTATAACAATACATTTGTTTTAGATTTTTCCAATCATATGGGAAGAAAATATCGCATGAGCCCGGTTCAGTTAAAATTTCTTCCATATCAATTGATTCGTAACCTCTTGGGTTAGATCCAGGGACATGATATGGATTGTTAATGTCACCAGTTGTGATTGGTATTTTCTTTTGAACAGTTGGGGCATTTTCACCTTTAACCAATGATGGGAGCTCGTCGAAATCTGCTAAAACAATGTGATGCTTTGGGAAATATATTGAAAATATTTGAAAGAGTTTGAAACATACAGTTGGTAGATATCTTTCTTCGTCGTCTTTAAAGAATGATTTGAGATATTTTTGATAGAATTCCTTAATTGAAACTAGCATGGGAATTCTTGGGAAGAAACTTGATGATTTTTTAATATGCTCTTCGTATTCTAAATACTCTTTGATAATTGGGTCAGTAAGCTGTCTTGTTTCTTCACGGTAGTATCCTGAGCTTTTGTGATTCGAAAGAATTGATTTTGATTTTTCAAAAGTTTCAAATACAGTGCTGCAAACAGTTGATTCGAAAATACCATTTGATGAGAGTACAATTTTATCATGTGGCAAATTATCTATAACCTCGGTTAAAATAATAAAGCATTCATCCTCTTCAGTTTTATGTGTCCAATTGAAGATGCTGGTATTGTTAATTTGAATATTTAATGCTGGATGGTCTGCTTTAATTCTATTGAATTGTTTCAATGCTAATGGTTTGGAAATTTCGATGATTTTATATTCCATGGTCTTGTAGATTTCTAGATGGTTTGATCGCATAAAATTCAATATATTTAATGCATTTGTACCAGAACCTGCACCAATTTCATAAATTTTTAAATTCTTACTCTTATCTTCTCTGTTATTATGTTTATCGATGATATAGTTTGCAATTGACCATGAATAATATGGTTTATATAATTCAACAGGTGTTAACCAGGCATGTTCTAAACTTTTATAGATATAGTGTAAATAGTTATTGTATTCTCTGAAGTTTTTAAGTGAGTTTAATGGTGGAATTTTAATATTGGGTGAGATGATAACTTCTTTAGTTTGGAAATACCCATAGTCTTGGTTGTATAAAGAATCTTGAATAAAATCTCTCATAATTTGTGTTTTAAGTTTTAATGAGTTTTTTACATTATTGTTTTTTGTATTATTATTTATATTATTTATATTATTTATATCATCGTTGCTATTATTTAATGTGGTATTGTTATCATTGTCTTTTAATATATCATAGAAATTTTTAAAAACTTCATCTTTATTAACTAGTGATTGGTTTTGTTCTTGTTCTTTTTCTTGTTGTTGTTGATGCTGAAGTTTTTTTTTATTAAGCTCCTTAATTTTATTTAAGGTTTTATAGTTTGGATGGTTATTTGTGTTTTTGGAGTAATTTAAAATGTTTAGGTAGTTATTTTTTAGATAATTATTAAATATTTTATTTGTTTTAATCATTTTTTTATAAATTGCTGAAATGAAAAAATTAAAAAAAATTTTTTTTTTAAAAAAAAAAAAAATTAAAAACGAAAATAAAAAAAAAAAAAAAGAAAAAAAAAAAAAACCAAAATATAATCATAAATTATAAAATAAATTTATTTCTTTTTTTATATGCACATATTAATAATTTTTTTTTTAAATCTTAAATATTTTAACATGAAAATTTTATTTTATTATTTTTAATTTTTTTCAGTAATTTAGATCTTAAATTACTAAAATAATAAAATGGAATAAACATTCCAATATATTTTTAAAAAGCAAAAGCTATCTGGGCAAGACAATGGGATCTCTTAAATTTGGTCATTTTTGGCTAATGAAATTTCGGTAAAAGATAGTTTATTTCTTCTTTTTATAAATTATTATTTGAATAAAAATAAATAAATAATAAAATAATAAAATAATAATAATAATAAAATAATAAAAAATTTTAAATTCCTAAAAAGATGATTAGTCTTATATATTTTTTTTTATAGTTTTTGGAAATAAAAATTTTCTTTTATTTAAAATTATTATTATCTTTGGAATTATTCTAAAAGTTTTTATATATTTTTTAGGGTTAAAATAATAAAAAAACTTTGGAGTGTTTTAATAATTTATAAAAGAAGAAATAAACTATCTTTTATAGAAATTTCATTGGCCAAAAATGCCCAAATTTAAGAGATCCTGTAATAAAGTGCACTATGCACAACTAAGGCGTGAGGTGACCAACTTTACAAAAGGGAAACTTCTTAATTTATACTATTAATTTGAACTCCTACTTTATACCTTCAAACCTTATGGGGGCCATATACTACAATCCCATCGTCTTGCCCAGATAGCTCAGTCGGTAGAGCGCAAGGCTTTTAACCTTGTGGTCGGGGGTTCGAGCCCCCCTTTGGGCGAATAATTTTTGATTAGATCAAATCTTCCCAGAGATGCTTCAGTGTGGGTTTTTGTTGTGACTCTTTATTGACATATGGTTAACTCCAATTGATGTCGTTTGTTTTTAAAGTGATTGTCATGATGTGATGATCGTGACAAGATAATCTGAAGCTGAGTTTGTGTTGGTACTTTAGGTCAATTAGTTTTGGTATTTTGTCTAATGATATATCAATTTTGATACTATCCTTGTTTTGACCTATGTTTGGAATGGTGCAACAGTCACTTTCAACGATTAGTTTAATGATTTTGTCCTTAATATCTTTTGGGATATCTTTTCCTGGGTAAAGCGATAGTCGATATAGGCCACCGTTTCTTTCACGCGAGGTGAGTTGATTTATTTTGTTGATTGATAGATCAACATTAGACAACAGTTCGTAAACGTTTCTTCGTTGCTGGGGTTTTGTCGTTGATGGGGCTGTTGAACTCATCATATATGGTTTCAGATGAGATAGATGATGAATCAGACATATCGGTAAAAGGCTGGTAATGCGGAATTGATCAGTGATTTTTTGGATAGTAGTGTAAAATGTGGGATAGGATGGAATAAATGTAGATTGAAGGTTAATCTAAAAGATTGTTAAAGATTGAAGATCTTTGGATATTAGATTAATGATGATTTTTGGAGTGTTGTTTTTTTTCTTGGGTAGGTGTTTGCAGTGTGGAAAAGATGTGTTGTTGTTTATCTTTTCAAGATCTGTCGAATGGTGTAAAAATCAGCTAAAAGTTTACTCATCCCTAACCTTACTGAGTTGGTTTACCCTCCTTTCTAAATTCTTGATATCCCTTTCTTTATCGATTATTATATATTTTAAGTCTGCATTTTCATCGGTTAAATATTCGATCTTCTTTTCACGTCTCTCTGCGTTCTTTTTAAGAACTGCAACTTCATTCTGTAAGTCTCGGTTAATAGACATTCTCATCTGGGTCATATGCATATCCTCCCTGCGGGCTGCGTTGACTGCGACCAAAAGTGATTCTTTATCTTCGACCATACGTTTCATTTCAGCCAAATCAATCTGAAGTCTTTTGTTCTCTTCCTTTAAAAGGTTTTGATTAGCTAATAGCTTTTGGATTTTACTTTCATCAACGGTTTTGTTACTTTTCATCATGTTTATTATTACTTGATTAATTATTACTATTAATTATTATTATTAAATTATGTTTATGTAAAAAATATTATTCTAAACTATTATTTATTGTTCCACTAAATTATCTATTCGTGATTCAACAATTTCTTTTTGTTTCGACCCGAGCCTCGATACAACTAGATATTTTGTGTGGAAAAAAAAAGTGTAATGTAGGTTCAAATCTATAAGTATTTAAAGCAAATAGTATTTATTAAACTATAATTATTTATGTTATGAAAAATGTGTATTTTTGAAATAAACCGAAAAATTTTTTTATTTTTTTGAAATTTTTAAAATTTTTTTTTTTAAATATTTTTTATAATTTTAATTTATTTAATTTAAATTAATGTATATTGAATTAAAATGGTTATTATCTTCAAGTATTAACTAAAGTGATATATAATAAGTAGTGATTACATTACAATGTAAAATTATAAGATATCTGGGGCAATGATAGAGCCGCAGAATGAAAAGTGGCGGGTCCGGATTTCAAAACCCCAGTCTCATGTGGGGGAGCAATGGTAGCTTGAAGGAAACTCGTTCTACCACTATGTTTATAGTGTATTTTATGCATCCTGATCTAGCTAAAGAATTATGAGCAACCTTTTCTCAATAATTAGCACTAAGAAGCTTGAAAATAAATTTTTTAACTACAAGATACACACAAGGTGAAGTACAATCAAGATTCATATAATCCATTCCCCACAAAAGATCAAAACTAAACCAATTAACCGCCTTTATAGACGAAAATGGAACAAAAATAGAAAATCTAAATGCAATTGAAAATTAATATTTTAAAAACTTATACAACCTATGTATAGATAATTTAGAATTTAATTAATTAAAATATATTTTATAAATAAATAAAATTTTTAAAATTATTTTTAACATAATTTTCATATAAAATGTGTCTTTTTTTATTAAAATTAAATATTAATTTAATATTTTTTTTATTATTAAATTAAAACATTATAATAATGATTGTTATATCATTTTTATAATTTATAATTTTCTAATAGTTTTTATTTTTTATTATAATTAATTAATTTGGTTTATAAAAATATCAATATGTCTAATTGTACCTGAATCTTTTTTACCAGTTAATGGGAGGTTTTCATAATAATTGTATGTTTCAATAAGTTGGATTAATTCTATAAATAGTTGCTGTGTTGTTTTGATGGTAAATGAACACTAAAGTTAAATGGATTTTTTGAAGTGGTGAGTTTTGATATTCCATAATTGATCAATGGTTACGAACACTGTGGCTTTACCTTTTGTTCCTAAAACTATTTTATTTCTATCATAGTTGCTTGGCCAGAGCGAATTAATGTTATTCATAAAATAGTTTATAAGATTGATTAGTGCTGACTTGATTAGTTGAAGCATGATTGTACACTATCAGAATCAATAGATTCTTCTACTTGACCACAGATTTTGCACAGCTTGATGAAGCAGATTCGGTACTTTTGCCAAAAAATGATTCACTAGTGTAAAAGATTCTTATGATTGATCTGTCATTTGTTTGAACTATTTATGTTTATTTACTGTGTTGTGTAAAACAATATGAAAAAATTGAAAGAAATTTTATATAAAAAATGACAATCTGAGATTGGTACAATAAATCTACTAT